ATCTGAGAAATATTATTTCATATTATACATGTTCAACATAATTACAATTACAAACAAGACTTTAATTGATATATTAGAATTGATATATTAGAAACTGATTCTTTTACTCGAAGATATTGAAACTTATGGATTCAATTAATATTTGAAATTCGCAAGAGACGAGCGTTACACGCTTTTTCACATTTGTGTACTCGCTTTTTCGCTGGAACAGACGCGAGAGGAAGAAGTGGTCCGCTCAATAATTTCATATCGTCGAGTTTTACCGGCAGCGGCGGAATTCAGTTGTGATTTCGCATAGAGAAATATTCGGCGTACAGGGAGAAAAGAAATATCCGGCAGCAGTCACGTGTCGAGGACCGGAGAAACGAATAAAAGCGCATAACCGATATGGATACGCGCGCAGCTCTTCGCATGGAAAGCCGTATTCAATAGAAATCCTATGGTGAATTGCCATCGCGAAATACGGGCGCAATGGCGAATTGCTCGCTGGAGAACGGTCGCATTAACTTTCGTTCTCGTTTTTTTTGCTTTCGCAGCACGCGATATCCATTGATTACCGCGCAGTAAAATCATCGTATATCTCTTTTTAACGAGCACCGATAACGGAAGGCATTTAATTCCGATAATCTCACGTGCACAGGAAATACATTCCTTTAAATATCTTGGCGCAAGTATCGTTTCTTAATGAAGTTTTTGAAACGTGCAAAAGGTTCACGAGCATTTCTCAACTTATATATTTTGAAAGGAAAAGATGCTTTCTTCGATAAGAAACTAGCTTTTAATATATCAGACTTAATAAGCTTTTAATTTGTTACATGTAATGGTCTGAAAGCACGCTTCGACGTTTAAAGAGGGTTTAAAGGATACATTGCAAGTAAAATATATATGTGTATCTCGTTGGATGTCTATTTAGATCGTTTTCCATCCGCAATCTAATTTAGTCTCTTCAAAGAAACAAACCTACGTATATTATGCATAGATGCACGTCAAGAATTGCGGCGATGTTTCTCGTAGCATCGATAAGATTGCATTCGCGATCAGATTCGCAAGAAAACTCACGCGGAGAGGTAGAAAGAAAAGGAAAGAAAGAGAGATAGGAAAAGAGAAAGAGGGTGCATCAATTCCATTCCTATCGTTCTTCTAGCGGTATGTATTGAAAGCGGGAGAGGAAAAATCTCGTTGGCACGCAACAAGCTTGAGGAACAAAGTTTCCCCCACAGTTATCCCCCGCGTACATCGGACGAATCAGACCGGAAGCCAAGTAAGGGTAGAAATAAAATCGACTCGCACGATCGCGCGCTGAAAGGTCCCCGACGAACGTTTTATTCGCGGTCAGTCCACGGCTGGAACGTTTCTATTCGAACTATTTAAGGGGAGCTTTACACCGCAAAATGTTTTACGTTCATCACGCCATTAATTTTACGATGCAAACGCATCGCCAAGTACAGCGAATTAAGACCGCGCGATCGCGAATAAATCTGTCAAATGTAAAAATTAAACTCCTAAACATTCTCTCCTTCTCTTTCTTTCCTTCTCTCAATTTCTCGGATAGTTAATTTCTCTCCCCAGCTCAGCCGTTCCGCGGTCGTTTTAGTAATTGCTGAAAAACTTCAAGTAATTGGCCCAATTTCGCCTAGACCGCGTCCGAAGCGAGTAAAGCACCCCGCAAATTGCTTTTGCCCAAGAGATAGAGAAAGAAAGAAAGAGATAGAGAGGAATGATTCGCTGCCGCGAGCTATGACAGAGAATTCTTCGAGCCAGAGAATAAAACGAGCCGCGAGATCTTTCCATTTTGTCATAGAAACTGCGTGTCTCGGAAGATTCTCCGCGTGAAAACACTTGGATCGACGAGATACTCTTACATCAAAGTGCTCGTAAAGTTTATGTTATCGACGTAACATCGTCCTTATTACAGTTCATAAATTTCCGTAGGAGCCTTACACGTAGGGTATTAAACAAGAATCGAGAGAGAAATGAATAAAATATTTATTTGCCACAAATTTTGTTATAAAACTGATAAACTTGTACTATTAAAAATTTTAGAGGCGATCCTTAATAATACTTGAAAATTCTCCATCTCTTCGGTTATCTTTTCCTCAATGACACTTCACAGGCACACACGATACACATATCGGTTTTCCATACCGTACTACACGTTGCTGGATAGGGATGGTGGTTAGGCATAAATTTCCAGCCGGATGGTGCTGCGTTTCCGTCAGCAGCGTCGCGCACAGAATGGCTTTCACGTAGTACCCTGTCAACGCGGTCGTTGAAATATTAAAATACTCGTTGCGATCGGCTCTGAAGTCAATTCTTTTTATTCCGTCGAAGGAAACATCCGTGGAATATATATTCGCGTCACGGTTAAATTTATCGCACCGTAGTCTAAAATCCGCTGTTAACATTGAACGGCTTTTTCCCATGAACATGAAATATAAATCATAACGTAAAAATATATACATGATATTTGATACTTAATCTACATTAAAAAATAATAAAAATAATGTATTTTAAAATATATTATTTAAAATATTTTATGATATTTAAAATTGGAATATTTTAATGTTGATTTATACATAATGTATTAAATATAATGTATCAAATATATAATGTACTAGATGCACATATAATGTAATTTAGATTATATTTTATATAATTTAAAATATATATATATATATATATATATTATATTATATAAAATTATCTTACATATAAGAATTGCATGAAAATCAAAAAGAAATCTGAAATATTTTTAAAATTAATTTTTCCAAGGCGAGAAATTTATTGGAAGAATCACTTCATCATAAATTTCAATATAAGATATCTTGTCATCTATACGCGTATATGATATGATACATCTCGCAATCACGATATCGGCACGTCAAGATGCATTTCGCGATGCGACATTTATCGAAGAAATTGCTCGGAGCAGTCGCTTTTATCGCGAAATCGAGCGAAAATCTCTCCGGACGTTAGAAGATTGTTAAAGATTGATAGTCGGCAATACGGAAGAAAAAAAATACGCAGAAAGTGCTCATTGACAAATTGATACAAATGGGCCAGGCGGCGATCGTGTTTCCTGCGCTTTTATATCCTCCGCGTTCCTCGATTTGCGGAAACATCTACTGTCTGTTTTTATTCACCGACGGCGAATTACGAGTGCACTTCGTTTGTATATATATTATGTATTGTAAGAATAATCCATTGAAATCAAATTAATTAAAGCTTGCTTTATTTTATCATGCAAATGTCAAGTTTTAGAAAATATCTTTAAAATATCAAATTATAAAAATATGTTATTTAAAAAAAAATTAATCTTCGATTTTACTTTTAATACATTTTCTTTTAATAGAATTTAATTTTAAATAGTATTATATATTAGAATATTTTAAAATAAATAAATTTTTAAATAAATTTTGTGCTTCAAACTTTATGGAGGAATTTGTAGTTGAAAGAAAGACTTTTTTGAGAGATATATTATACGGGATGCTACTGATGGCCTCTATCGGATTACTCGATTTGTACGTCGACTTTTATTTTTCCGGTCGATTTGCGAAGAGTCGTGTCTCAGAGTGAGAAAGTCGAATCGCATATATCGTCGTGCCATAGTGGCACGAAAACTTTTGACACATTGTAGTGCGAACTCCCTAACTCTCTTAAAGGAATATATTCGTAGGGATGATGCCCGCGGGACCGCACGAGACTCGATTTTCTTTTCTCGATCGCAAGACGTTACAATGCGCTCCGGCACATCACAAAAGTAGTAACAACTTTTCGCCACTTTTACGGAATTGTTCTGTGGGTAAAGTTGTACATAGTCGACGATAATGTTGTACAAATACTCGTTCGTACTTTCAGATTATTTCGCAAGCGAGCAATAGCCTGAGCAACGATACTACTATATTTCATTAACTTGCGACAAAGATGAATCGCGGTAACAAAACGGTCTCGCGAATTTCCTCTCTTGTGATTCCGACTACGTATGTTGTTTACATATGTTATTTTTAAACTGTTGTAAAATTAATGTAATTATATTAAATAGAAAAATCAATATGTGCCATAAACTTCAGTTCTCATAATAAATATGCGTAATTTTTATCTTTTTATTTTTATTTACAGTTATAATTCCTTCTTTCAAGAATGAGATGATTAATTTTAACTTTCTTTAAAATACATAATTTCTCCTGAAGTTTAACTTTTTCCTTTTATCATGCATAAAAAGAAGAGAGATGTACTTTGTTTCTTATCTTAGAATACTTACAAGTTCTGTCGATTCGGGAATTACACTTCATTTTGTAATAATTAACTTTCAGTCGAAAATAATGAATTTGATTTCTGTTAACTTTTCTCTAAGAAATAAAATAATTTTTTGCACATTTCAAAGTATTTTCATTTTATTATCAAGTCAAATTTTATAAAATAGCGATATTTTTGCAACGCAATTTATCTCGACGTGGAATTGCAACTATTCGACAAGTTTTGGACTGCAGAATGATATACATACCCAGAGCATCCATTATTGTAACACACGTGCGGCTATTCCTGTCACGAAGTGGACAGACAACGAGGTTGGCTTATGTGGTTGCACGAACCTGGACTAATGTTACATCGGCCATCCCCCTTTCCGTCCACTGTAACATTTATCTCTACTCGATTCGCGTGTCTGTGAAGAGAGTAGCGGTTTCCAAATTTCTACTTTCACACATTCCCTCATTTTCTATTAATTTACAAAAAAGCCTTTGTGTTCGTAAATTCAACACAAGCTTAACAGTTAAAATTTATGCTGTGTGTGAAATTTTCGAATCGATTTTTAGGATCACAAAATATATTTTTTCTTTAAAAGAGATTCGCACAATAAAATATTTTATAAAAATTTTATTTTGATTTAAATTGATTTGAATTTCTTTTTATTACTACTCTTATTTTTTACACAAGAAAGTAAATTATGCTCGTTACATTAATTAAAGCATCTCAATATTTTGCTTTATATTAACTTCCAGAATTATGCGAGGAATGGGCGTTGGCGAACAGTCGTGAATGCGTAGAGGGTGGCGGTTCGGCGGGCACGACGCACGGGGAGGAATCCGAGGATACGTCCGAGGCGAGGTTCACCCTCAAATATTTGGGCAGCACCCTCGTCGAGACACCCTCGAGTGAGGAGGCCACAGCGGAAGCCATCAAGACCGTCATTACCATGGTGCGTATTCGAAATTTTCATGATTTATCTTCTAAGCTTAATAACATATTCTGAAACAGCTGTTCTGAAACTAGCCTCATAATCTTTTTTGTAATCTCAAATCGCGTTTATTTTTTATTAAATTTGAATTGTTTTTTTCTTATTTCTTTCTCTGTTGATTTATCATTAATTTTTACACTATAAATCATATCTCAACTAATTAAATATTAAAGAATAAAGAATTATATCGTGTCCAATTTACGAAATCTGTCATAAATTTAGTTTATACATTTCATATTATAGAACATTAAATTTACCTTCTTAATTTAAAAAAAAATGTTTACATCCTCATTTTGAAAACTAATGACAGAAACATGCAATAAGTTCGTATCATATTTTTTATATAATATATAAATTGTACTTTTCTCGTGTACAAAATATATAAAATCATATTTAAATAGAGATATTTCTCTGATCGTTTTTATAAACACAATTTACAAGACATATTTACGTTACGCTTTATCGTGAATATGTGTAATATATTTTGCGTAGGATTTTAAATTATTAACAAATTTGACGTTTGTCGAGAGGAGAGAAAGAGAGAAAGGTTTGCTATCCGCGCCGGAGATTGCCACTGTATTATTTATCGTCGAAATTATATCGCGCTGCGTAATTTACTTTAAACCATTTTCCGACGCGGCTGCCGTGAAGAGAATTTAATTGAAATTGCAAGGTACTAATTCCACGCATAGCCACGAGTCCGTTAATAAAGCTAATGAAAATGAATCGTGATTACTTTGCGCCGCGTTCATTCTCTGCTTGGTCTCTGTCTCTGATGAGAAATTTGTAGATTGAGAAATTTTTCTAGTTTTTTCCTTTTGTTTTCCATTGCTTCGATGTTCGATAGCGAATGTTGTCGATCGACGATAACGATTTTGTTGAATCATGACATAATACGTTTTCCAATCGTGGCTATTAATGCACGAAGCTCGGGAATTAAAGCAGAGAGCAAAAAATGCGAAAAGTGAATACGGCGGTATTAATTAGAAACGTTTGATCCAACTTTCGCTCATCCGTTAATTACATTCGACTTTGTACATGAAATATCGCGAACATTGCTTATATCGTTTTTGATGAAACGAGTTTTAGTTTTCGCATAGCATTGAATGTGTGATTTTTGACGTTTTATTAAAAATATAAAAGTCGATTTAAAAAATAAAATTATTCCGACAAAAAAATATTTGCTAATTTGTTGTTTGACAGAGTTTTGTATACGTTAAATATAATCTTTATAATAGTAATTAATATAACATTACTCTATTAAATATCTATCGAAACCATATTAATTTATTTAATACGTGTTACAAGAATTTTTTATTTAAAAATTGACTTTATCATGAAACAGATTGAAAAAAAAATCGAATTCGAGAATAATAAATCTCTATCAGTTTCGATTTAATTTATCAAATTTAGCGAAATCGTTGTTGAAATCAGAGGAAATGAATTTATGTGATTTAGCAACGATTCGAGGAACATAATTAATTAATAACGAAACTTTACGCGCCTCATATAATTCCAATTTCGAAGCGATTACGACTCGTACCACGAGATTACATGGACAGCATCGCAGAAAGCGGTAGTATATATACTTCGGTAATTTCCGAGATAGTTATTAATGGGGAGGATTCAATCACAACACATGAAAACGTATACCAGAGAATTTCATACGTTTCGATAATAAGTAATCTACAACAAAACAATAAATTTATAATATATATTATAAAATAATAGAACTGTAAATATTATTTTTATAACCCCGATATACATTTATAATTTCTAATCTAAAAATTAATCATGCAAAAGAAATTTCTTCCTCTCTTTCTCTCCTTCTAATATATTTATAATTTCTAAATAAATATTATTTATACAAAATCTAATATAAAATTTATAAAATTATAGCATATACACGACAAAAATTAGTAATTATAAAAATGATGTATGAGATTCCAAAAAATCGTGATCTGTAATTACGAAACTGCAAGTCGCTATAATATAAAACATAGCTGCATAGTACGTTGCCCGGTTTGATTGTTCATGTTGCACTAAGCTGCTTTGGTTCAAACGGTTTTGCTGCATCGCGATGTCGAACAAGAACCTCTGGCTGCGGGTTTTTGTGAACGGTGAGCTATCTCGATTTGGATCGATTCGAAAGTTTCTCGACGCGTGCAATCGTATTCCGCGTCGAGAAACTTCCTGATCAAAGCCTGCATTGCGTCTTTGCTTGCTAACTGTCCCATCGGACTCATCTTCTTCTCCTTCCTCATCGTCTTTTGTACTTGCGTAATTGCGTCCATTATATTGTTAATTCCTTCTCGTAGCGTCGCAGCCATATTCCGGTTTGAAAGAGAATTCATCTCCATAGCAGCCTTTGTGTCAAGCGTAGTAATAATGAATTTGATCGCTTATTTTAGTTTTTCATCAGGAAGTGAAATTTCTTTTCAGAAATTAATCGCATATATAATTAGCTATGAAATATATTTTTATAACATAACTTTCTTAGATGCGTTATATTCTGAATATTAATTAATTTTTAGACGCCTTCGAGATGTTTACTCGCTCACATAGGTTTCCACTCTATAGGTTTCATCGACGTGACGGTTAACTATAGAAATATTTTCATCCTTATTATTTCGAGATAATTTGCTCTGAATCATTAATTAAGGTGTCTCGTTCCCGAAGTGGAAGATAATGTTGTTCACGTGTCTAATAGCATCGTCTTGCCTTGTCGCGACCATAAAGGTAACTTCACGTAGTTTCCATCATGCAACTCTTGCCCGCAAGTTCTCGCTGATAATGGTATTTAGTGTTTGCGAGCAAGAAGCTTGCTGATACAAGACGCCCTAAATTACCATGAGACCTTTTAGATATAATTTAAATTAACACACATATAAATGTTAATACATTTAAATTGCTGCTTGTCAGTCAAAGAGAAGACATTCTGTGAAAACATTTTAATAATGAGCATTATTTAATTTATTGAAAAAGTGGAAAATGTGTGTGTGCATTATATCCGGTTTCTCGCAACAAATAATTATCGAAAGTATGAATAAGATGCACTACTACACTCGTTGTTGGGAATTAACCATGGTAATTATAAAATAAATGAAGAAGTTATCAAGCCTCGTTATCTCTGCCAGGCTCCTCTTTTTCCATGAAAGGATTCGTTAATTTGTCGTTCGGAACTTTGCATATGGTTATATTTCACTCAGATTTGATGCGAATTACAATTTCTCGTTTTGTTCATTTATGATAATTATTGTTGTTATTTTAACAGAGCAAAGAATTTAATTAAAATTTGGAGTGATTTGTAAAATAATTTTACAGATAATATAATAAATATGAAATTTAATATAAGATTTATATATAGCTTTGTCGCTAATTAACTTTCTATATTTCATCATTTGTTCAATGATATCGATTGGATAAATTTAAATTATAAGAAAAATCAAATTTTTAAATATCTTCTATATTTAAATAACATTAGTTCAAAATCAGTCGCGATTACTATTGTTATCGCTATTTGTTCTAGCTATAAAAAATCTTTGTTCATATTTCTTCTGTATTCGTAGTTATTTTCATTTGAAGCGGAAGCGATAAAGAAGCTCCAATATATTTAAAATTAAATTTCAAATTATTATATTTGGTATTCTCTTGAATATATTAAGTATTACTTAATAGTAATCATTTTTGGATATGAATAGTACCATCATGAAATCTAGTTAATCAGATTGCTAAGTAAGGATTAAGCAAACGTGTATCCTTCCTCGATTACTTATCCGCGATAGAAAGGCCCGTTGCAGAATCTGCTCGAGAATCGCGGGATTAAGAAACGTTCTGGAATTTCGCGCGATCGCGATTAAGACAGCGGGATCTCTATGCGCTGGTTAAATTGTTAAATGGACCGCTTAATCCTCGTGAAGCCCCGTAATTGCATTGCCATGGAGCGACGCGAGAGCTTACGGTTTAGCAACGAGATATTTGATTCCTCGAAAAAAGTAATTTGGGCCGCTGCATTGCTATATTTTATTCAGGTTTACGCGAATTTATCCTTAAAGAAATTTCCTGAGCTATTCTAATGGTAGTTTCCATAAGCCTTGCCCTTCGCTCAAATCAATAACAAAATTGTCTATCCGATGGAAAAAAAATCGAAAAATCTGAGAGAGATGTTCAATAAATCATTCAGATCTCTCCTTTTGAAATTTCTTAATCAAGCTTTTAGGTAGAATTTTTATATGATCGAGAAAAAAAGGACAAGAAGATGAGCTTGTCGAGGATGTTAGAAAATAAATTGAAAAAATGGATTACTTTTTAGATAGAAATAGAACAATAATTAATATTTTAGTAAACTCTTTTGCTTTCTTTACACATACGAGAATATAAAAATTATTATATAATACGAAAATTAATTTAATTGATCAGGGAAATTAGAAAAATAATGTCTTTATAATCAGAAATTGAGATATAAAATATTTAAAAATAGAATCAACATGAGATATTTTATTGCACGTGTCATAATAATAAATGAATAAATTATATCTTTATTATCACATTTATCACATTATATGTATATTTTTAGATTTGAAGATTATTTCGGAATTTTTGTTCTACATATTTTACTTTTTTCGAAACATTTTTTGCTTTTTATTATATCAGACTGCGTTGCAAAAAAATTAATCGCGAAAGAAATAAAAGAGAACAAAGATACTTTTATGAAATTAAATTTTATCTGGTAATGGGCGAAAGCTTTTGCGCACGATTGCACTTTATTCCATCTATTTCGTTTGTTGCAGGCGAAAGCAAGCGGAAAAAAACTGCAAAGGGTCTCTTTGGCTGTGAGTTTGAGAGGAATTAGAATGACGGACTTGGCCACCGAAGAGGATCAGCTTCAAGTATCGATATATAGGTATGTACATTGGAGAGAGATTGAGATATCCAAATATGCAGAATAATATTTAGAATTAGCAATTTAATAACGTCAATTGAAAAATTTCGTGTGAAATTACATTTGAGACTTTTTAAATATCTAATATTTACGTGAGAACTGACATTAAGGATTAATATTACAAATAAATTTGAATTTGAATAAAATTAAAATTTGAAATTCGTATCAAAAAGCAATCTTATATTCCATAATAAGATTTAATTAAAAAGATTTGCAATCTCCTTTAACAACTTATGTGGTTCTGACATCTTTTTGATATATTCACGATTCTTGTTATTTACGTGAATTTTATCTTTATCTTATCACACAAAAATAGTGCTTCTTTTATTTAAAATAATAATCTAGACAGTCTTATAATATACATATACTAAAATTATTCCTTTTTTCGCTTTTCTCTTTTTTTTGCCTAAAAAAAGAATATATAACGTATTTTATTCAGTGTGGCAAAAATATTATAACGGAAACGCGAACGCAATGCAACGATAAATAATTGTTTTTCATGAAACATGCGCGATTGAAATTTTAATCCTGAATGAAACTCGTTTGCTGCATGTTTTGCCGGGACCTATCTAGCCGGGAGGAATTATATTCAATATATATGTACATGCATATATATGTACGAAAATGCATTGACAATCCAACATAATGACGACATGACGACATGACGACATGATGATGATGACGCAGTGAGCGATATGGACGATTCCGTTGCGGGAAATTATCGGCGCGGCTATTTCCGATCAGTTACTCTGGTGCAATCTCTCTTTATCGTTCTCATCGGACCACCAATCGATTTGCAGATTGCGAAATTTTCAATCTCATTAATGGTCGAGAGGATTATGAACGTTTGGCAGTAATGGTGATTTCTAATTTGCGATGTTTTATGTAATACATATAATATTATTCAATCATTATAAAAAAACACTCTTTTAGTATCAGAAATAGACAGCATTCCATAAATATACACGTTACTAGCAATAAAATTAAATATATCAAAAATTGAATTATAGATTAGGTAGAAAGTGATATATATATATATGTGTTTGTATGTGTATATATATACATATATATATATATATATATATATATATAATATCCTCTATATACTTTATATTTTAAAAATCTTTATATTTATTTTATTTTAATATTCTAATTGAATAAATTTCCAAGACAATTTTTTATTTCATTTTTTATTTACTCGAATCTTCACGTAGAATTTTTGTACACTAGTACGTTTAATTACATTTTTGTGAAAACGGATCTAAAAAAATTTATGTCAAATTTCACAATGAAGAATCGATTTTATATTTTGTGTCTTTTAATGCATCAGACATTTTATAAGAACAGATTAAATGCGCCTCTGATTTCTGATCCATAATATCGATTTAGAATATCATTATGTGTGTTCATTTTCCTAAAAAAATATTTAATTTTATATTTATAAATTTAGCTATGTAAATAAATGGATATTATATGGTTAATAAAGAATAAAAGTCTGCGGTTGAATAAATCTTACGTTAAAATACGTAAGAGCTCTATGTCATTGATCAAAAATTAATCGAATTCAGCGATATCTGCGATAAGAGAAACAAAATCACAGACAGACACGTTTCGGAAGAAAGTTTTGCCGAATTTTCATGCGGCGCGAATGAATGGCTAAACTTTTTTTTCGCGTATTCGCGATAATGATCCCGCGGACTTGTTAGACCAGTCGCGTAATTCTAGACGAGGTCGACCAGAACGAGGTCCTATTGTTAGCCCGCCGCCGGGCTCTGTTTCCGCTTGCGCATAATGTGCTCGGAGGTGTGCCGAAGTGGCGAATGAGAAATTTCACAGGGATGAAAAAAGAGAAAAAGGAAAAAGAAACGTAGGGTGACGTGTCGGTTATAAATTTCCTTAACCTTCTCGCCGTTTGGTGCCGTTAACGGCGAGTTAATTAACCGGCGTGCAAAGACGCGCGGCTGAATAAAATTAAGCTGCGGGATTAAGAGCGTTAAAGGGCATTATTTTGGGGCTGATGGTATTATCGGTTCCCGCCAGCAATGCCGTAAGTTAAAAACTGCGCGAACCGAAAAGAAAGGAAAAGAAACTTGAAGAAAGGAAAGAGCGGAGAAAGGAAAAGAAGAAAGAATAGAAGAAGTAAATTAACGCTCTAAAAAATGAAGTCTCGATTTTTTTTATAAAATGAGTCATTCTATATACGTCTGTATTTATTTCATTGTCACCTTATGTAATTAAACATTCTAAAAGTTATATTTTTTACATATAACATACATATATTTATCGTTATTTTATTATATACATCAAAATAAGCCAAGCTCATTATGTAAGATAAGGGATGAAAGAGCCTTCCTTTCCAAAACGTCAGTTATGTCACTGCATCCGCCCTTTTATAAGCAATGCATCCCGCACACATTGCCTCCTTTATATATTATATTATTCTCGCTTCCCTTACGGAATTTTGGATCTACCCTCCAGCGAATTTTCGACTATTATACGAGCGAACATTCTACTGTACGACATAAACGGAAGGAGCTGCCGCAAGCGGTGAATTTGCATCGTGCAGAATATGCATAAAAAATCAGAGATTATCAAAATTGTTGAAGACGCAGGGTATGAGATATGCAAGGACAGTGGTATTTTTTAAACTCTTAAAAGATACACATAAGAAAGAAGTTTATTATTTTTGATAAAAAAATAAACTTCTACAATGTAATATAATTTGGATGTCGTTATCCATTTGTTTCAGGATCTCGTACTGCTCGGCGGATGCGACGCACGATCATGTTTTCGCGTTCATTGCGACGAATCTAAACGAGACGATGGAGTGTCACGCGTTTCTCTGCCCCAAGAGAAAAATGGCGCAGACAGTGACACTGACTGTGGCACAAGCTTTCAAGACGGCTTATCAGGCGTGGCAGTTGTCGCAGTCCGATCCGAGGATCCATCACGCGCAAGATAAGAGTCCTCCTTTGACAGGCGACAAGACTGGTGAGGAAGCTTTTCATATTAGCACTATTACATTAAAATCGATCGTCGTAATCTTTCAAGACGGCATAAAAGTCTTTTAAAAATACAAGAAAATTAAAGAAAAATTAAGAGAAAATTGAAAAAATAAGGGAAATAAACAAAAATGTTCTGTTAACTCTCTCTTTCTTCTTTCTCTCTTAATAAAGAATGTTAAAAAAATTAATCTTTAAAAATATTTGTTAATTATATAGTTAGAAATTTAGATAAAATTATAAATTTTCGAAGGGAACAAATTTTCTATATAATTATTAATTTGTTAATTATTAATTTTCTATATAATTATTAATTTAAGTAAAGTTGGAAGCTTTTAAAACGCAAGTTACGCGCGATTAGAGCTTGAATAAAAATTAAATATATTCAGCGTCAAATGAGTAGAAATGGAATCTATTCTCGTTTTCTGCACTTTGGAAAAGTTACCGCTTGCTTTAATCTGGAGCGGGCTTGTGTGAGTAGAGATATAAAGAGGTAGCTGCCACGATGATCGTGAAGTGCAGTGCCTATATGGGCTTTGCACTTAACCCGCCGAGAGTACGGATATTGCGGGGTGCTTCCTGGCACCGAGCGAGAGAGCCAGGAAATTGTGCGTTAATATTGAGGATGGCACACACACTCTGCAACAATGAAAAGTATTGTAATTTCACTTTTGGACACTCTCTTATAATCCTCTTTCTTTTAATGATACTTGATAACCTTATTTAAGAAGTAAAAAGCATTGTAATTCTAATTCGCGTAATTTTGTTTATTTAATGCTAGATTATTGTTTTCATACAAATTAATAAAATAAGGAAAAAAATCATTGTAAAAATAATTCTTTATTGAAAATTTACCATTTTTTAATTTTTGTTGAATATTTCTCATCGCTGATATGATATAAGGATCCACATTGATAGCACGTTTATGCCAAAAAATAGATACGCTAGATTGAACCGATATTCTCATAATCGATCGATTTGCTTCTAGCTATATTGCACAAGTTTATTGATTTTTAAATTAGTTTTTCAAGGATTTTATTTTATGAATATTGCATAGAAATATATCGCTTTGAAATATTGCATCGAATATTTGAAGGCGCAGAGAAGCTTTAGGAAAGCTTATGTAGGTGAAGCTTCATTTAAAAAATAAATATTTTCTCTATATCAATCCTTATGCTAAAGAATTAATTTTCAAATCTTTTTATCACGATATTTCATGAACCATATTTTCATCCAATTTCCTCTATGTATAACAAAATTGTTATAAATTTTGAATCTCTTTTTCAATTTAAGAACCATATTTTTAGAAATTTTATCACAATAAGAATTTCAATACATAATATTTGAATTATATATCAAACAATAAACTAATTTTTATTAATCGAAATTTCAAAAAGATAGTGAATAATGATTTACTTTACATATTCAAGTGTTTCACGATACTTTATAATAAATAATATTTCCATATTTATCTGCACATTTCTTTCTACTCAATATTATCAATTTATTCGGAAATAATAGGTATACCTTCTGTTATACATCTGTTCGATACCGTCTAATTATTTGATCTGCTTATCTTTGATTGCAGATAACAATGAGAAAAAGAACGCCAGTGAGACAAAAACCACCACCGGCAAAATTAACGAGCAAAATAAGCAAAACAGTCAACAACGATGTAATGAAAGCCAGAAGAATTTACTAATTGATCTGTCGAACGATCCTAAACCGGCAGGAAATTCATGGGTGAGTGATGAAATACGAAACTCTCTCTGTTTCTCTCTTTGATGTCTCGTTGTTCTTGGTGCCATTAAAAGGTACCTGATCGATCGCAAAGCGATAATTCCACAGCTTTTGATCTCTTTGCTACATTGCATCGACTCTGTATCGCGATGCTACGTTTATAAAGCTCTCGCCATTAATTTACATCGCATTAGATACGAGAAGAGGTTGCTCTTTTGGAGATTAATTAAGATATCCGGAATAGAGCAATCGCTTCCCGTCTGTATTTATTCCTTGAGAATTTTGGAAAACTTCCGAACACATGTTTTATACTTTCACTTGAAAAACTTAAGGCGCTAAAAAATGTTGTCCGATATTTTCTAAGTTAATTAAATCTAAATTAATAAAAGACTTTATATTCATGTGCTATAATTTTATTCATTAAAATATCCGAAATATACTTCAATATTGTGTACATATTCTTCATAAAATTATAAAAAATGAATATTATATATCTCCACTTACCTCTAACTCTTCTATATTTTTTGTTAGCGAAAAAAAAATTCAAATTGTAGAAACAACTTTATATCTGAAAAAGGAGTTTTAATCTATTAACAATAATCTAATAATTATAATAATCATTATTATTTTTAATTTATAATTATTAATGATTGATAAAATAATAAAATCGATAAGATAAAAATTTATTGAATAGCGTGATCTGTTTGCTTCTTTCAGGTGTGCTTCGAGGAAGAGTCGGATGCGAAGAAAAGCCAGAAGAAGAGCGCGACGATCAATAACAGTATCCCTATGACCACACTTAGGCATCATACAACGGCGTCCACCCCGGCTCATCATGTGGTGCCCCGACCAAGCGCCGGTTTCAAAGTACAGAACGCCTGGGGCGAATCTAGATCGGTCGATCTCATGTGCTCGTAGCAGGCAGGATAGCCGGCGGCCGACAGCTTCAGGGACGTGCCATTGATCACAGGCCTCTGGAAGCATCTTTCGAACAACGGCCAAGCCAAAAAGTCCAACGGCAGTCGTTAGATCCTCCAACCGAACTAATATAGCTTCCGATCGCAAATTTAGACATCAAAAAATGAGGATCTTTGCCGATAATTTGTATTTTTAGCGAATGGCGAAAAAAGGTAGCGGAGACGCGATACAGTGATGTTTATCTTGTATGATGTAATCTTAATGAGACTATGTTAAGTCCAATGAGGTTTCTATATCAGTTGAGGAAACGAAGAAAAAAATGGCTGAGCGGAATGCTTTTTATTCGGTATAATAACGGGCAATGCTTAAAGACGACTATCCCGCAGCGGATAAAGATTGGTAATCGGAGTGAGATCAATTTGCAATGGATTTTGTATAATGCATATATATATACATATGTATTTATATATACATATAAACCTGTGCCAATTACTTTACACATACATATCGCACAAACATCATGATTGATAATACAAGAATGCCGAGATGTTCTTTTTTTATTGTTGTTAACAGTATTAATTCTGGAAATTAGATTAAAATTAATTATACACTCGCGCTTTCAGAAAATAAAACTTTTAAGAAAGATCATTAGAGTTGTAAGGTAGAGCATTAACATTAAAGTTTATTATAGAATTAAAAATTTCGATGCAGATTCAAGAATTAAAAGTCACATAAATTCATTATTAAATAAATCAATTTCTTAAAAAATGTTAATATAATTTATTAATTAAAATTCTTTTTCAATAAAAAACATAATCAGTATCTCTAAAAAAATTTATTAAGATTTATTATAAAATTAATAATGAAAATATAATAAATAAATTAAATAAACATTTCATTGATTTTTTATTTTATTTTTTTTGTATTTTTAGTGCTATATTAAATTTATATATATATATATTATATCAGATTTCTCTATTTTTCTTAAATTATAAATATGAAATTAGTTTTTGAGAATACAATTCATGCGCGAGTATACTTGGAGCTTTAGTGCTACAAATATGTCCCGTCCAAATTTGAAAATATCGCTGCCACATTTTAACCCCATGTGTGTATTTTGAATATTTTACATCTACGATACAATATGCGAATAAATTGCGAAAAATTGCTTTAAAGCGATTTTCTAGTGAATTCTTGCCATGTAAAAATATGTATTCCAGAGTTAATACTTGTTTATTATTTTTGTTGGAGAGAAACTCCAATCTTTTACTATGTCACACATGCGAAGAATGGAGAAGTTTCATAGATTGATTTTCTATTACGAATACTGGATAAAGATAATCCTTTACGTAATCGTTAATAATTGAATCTTTGATTGAATAGCTGGACTATTTCTTATTGTTAGATGAAGTTCTCGTTAAAGTTTCTTGCAAGAATGAAGTTTGTAAAGACGTAGCCATTTAAACATATATTAAAAAACCTACATTATTTTTAATGTATTATTGACGAAATTTGCAATTAGTTTATCTTGTAAAGCTGATTTCTTTTCTTTCATATTCAAATTTGTTGAACAAGCTTTCTTGTGCACCGATGATGACACAATTCCAATGATAGTATCGACGAATTAGAGAATTATACTATCGAATTATCGCAATATTTGCATATGACATATTAAGCATAAATGTGTTGATATACAGAGTATCCTGCTATAAATGATCACCTTATTTTATCTTTTGATCTAAGAGAAATAGACTATACCAAATATATATATAAAATTAAATAGCTTAAAAACTGAACTTTATTGTAAGTATAGTGGTTTGCTTAAAAATTATGCATATTTTTCTGTTCCTTAACATCGGTAATTTTTGTAAGTTTGCAACTACTGTATTGACAATAGAGTTTAAACCTTTTGACATATATTTCTCATAATTTATTTTTTTTAATTTAAAAAATAAAAGGAGGTGATCATTTCAGCGAGACACTCTATATATGTTACGAATAAATGTGCGCGTATTATAATTAGTAGAGCGTAATAATACTACTAGCAATCGAGGGAAGAGCGTTAACATGATTTAGCGTTAACTATATTGATATTTAATTTATCAATTGTTAAACCGTAAATATATTGTATTCCTGGTTATAGATTGTATTTGTATGTAATTATCGTGATTATATAACATATTGGACAGTTCAAGTCTGTATTTAGCGATAATATGTTACTGTCGACTCGGTTTATTTTCAAACAATTTGATATTTCAAATAATTTGATATTTTTTTATCGCACGGTCGACATAAGGCTGTGTTCGTTTCCGAAAAAAGAAGATAATGGATATGGTACACATTATACGATAACTTACTGTCCATTAATCAATATTATATCGTCAAAAAATGAAGTTTTTAAACTCAGATCAAATTATACGTCGATTCTAATGTAGTTATTCTGATGAAAGATTTTCATAGATTCACGGAATTTATCGCGAGATAATACGAAAACGCTCATTTTTTAAATTGTGTCATTAATCCCTTTTTGATGAAAATTTTTTATCAATTTTTAAGATAAAATATTGAATTTTCTTCTAAAATATTTTTTATCTTTACATAAATATTTTTTTTTTTAATTGTTACATTAAGAAATATATTATTAGAAAGCATTATTGTTTTTCTTTAAAAATATATAAGAAGTAATTAAAATCGTCTTTTATGTCTTAAATTTCGTTGTTCATTATAACTAAAAATTATCAAAATTATTAAAATTTTCAAGTGCAAAATAGGCATTTATAATCAAAAAGGGCTTAAGATGACTTTATTTTATTCCGTATAGAGCAGATGTAAACTTGAACATTCAAATGTATATTGATAATCATCTCGAAACGCCACGATAATTCCATTATTCTGTGTTGCGCGCATTAGTAGCACATGATTAGTGTACTTGTATTTACCACAAAAATGTTACATTTTTTGCGCTAAATGTTCGTAGTCCGTAAGCAGCACAAATCAAATATACGTATACATATCGACGTTTTATATAAGAATTTATCCCGATACAAAAAAACGAAACCCTTTTTGCGATCCTTAAGACGAATTTGAATATCTATTCATTCCGTCTTACGCGCAATAATCAATTAATTTTCTATCAATATTGATAATTTTAGTTATATTCGCGAAACTGTAAAGAAACTACTTTTGCACGTTTTATTTTATTGATAATTATTATCAGAGCTAATAGAGCATAATAAAAAATCATTAGAAATAGATCTGTTTCTCGAACAAGGATAAGATGGCACGCAGCATCAAAGAAAAAAAGCTTGAAGCTTGAATATGCTTTAACAGAAATTTATTGTTCCAATACATCACGAATGTAATTTGTGAAAAGGGAGATAGTCTCCCAGATATTTCGATAAATCGAGAAGAAGCAAATATTACGTACACGAGGATAGTCTCTATAATTTATGCATTTATCCGTACTTTTTTTATATAGTTTTTCCTTAGCCGATTTATATGGATGTCGCGCGCGCGCGCGCGCGTCACCATAATTTTTTTTCTTTGATAGATTTATAAAAATCGAAGATGATTACTTTTAACCGATAGATTCTTTTCTTCGATAGAAGGATCTATCTCAATCAGTTCTTCCGAGAGATATCGGATTAGTGACGCGAAATAAACACATCTTGAGAAGATATTTTTCTCTGACGAAAGAGAAGAATAGTATTTCGAAAATGTTTTATATTCCGAATATATTCCGAAATTTCTTTATATTTCCTAATATTATAATTATAAGAATGGTCAGAAAATATCCTGAGAATTTTTTAAATATTTTGACAATTTTTACACATCTTTCAAAAAAATTCGAGATATTTAGAGAAATCTCAAAATATTCGGTTGATATATATATATATATATATACAGATTTGCACAAGTCCGACTTATTTCTTGCTATATATAATTACATATTACATAAATGTTTTTATAAAATTTGTAATATTTTTTTTCGAAATATTTTCTCATTTCGCGTCAACAATCCAATCTACGAATAGTAATATGAAAAGCCTCGTGTCCGTGCTTTGGAAATTCCCTGACGCTTCTAATTAGCGACGGCATCGCATATATATATAATACATTACACACCTCGTATTACATGCGTCTCTTTTTCTCTCACGCATTCTGTCACTTATCTTCTCATATAAATACTTAGCGATTATTCCTTATTATATATGCAATACTTATATATCTAATCACTATCTCGTCTTTGCTGAAATTGGTGTTTAATAATCGAACATGCCGTACGAGAACTGCAATTTCGGGATAACGACAAATGTTAAAAAATAATAGCATTCGCACTCTAAATAATTTCTTATCAATGTAGCGTAACAATAACAATCTAATAATAATAATAATAATAATAAATTAATTGTAAAACTATGTAACTTAATTATCGCAAAAAAATATATAATCTCTCTCTCTAAAAATAAACCTTCTAAATTATATTCCGTATGTGCGCAGAATTCGTGTATAGATGTACAGTGATACGTATAAACATTTTCTCGATGGAAATCTTCAAAATCGCAAAAATGTAATAGATCAAGATGACCGTATCCTGCGAAACTCTCGTACGGCAATCGAATGCACCAAATTTTCCTGGCGTATTCACAATATGTAAAGTGTGTCACATAAATTAACCTGGTCGTATATCCTTGAAATATAAAAAAAATTATTTATTACAATTCTCAAAAAACAAAAAATATTTTTTGTTATATACATTCTAATATTACGACCGGGCCGTTTCTACGCGACACATAACATGCTCGAGAAATGAAATATAAGTCAGAAAAATAATAACAAAATAAACAATACTCTGATTTTTTATATAGTCTTAATAATTTCAATATAACTTTATTTTAATAAAGTATATTTTAGACTATTAGCATAGTAGATAAAATTATAATTATATAATAATTATAATTTTATATATATATATATATATATATATATATATATATGATATATGATATATATATATATATATATATATATATATATATATATGATTTTTTATTAAAGTTAATATCGATATAATTACCTTCCTGTAAATTGTGACTTACATCTCTTTTTCGGGAGCACGTTGAACTATTTTCTCTTTCATCTTTGTCCTAAATTATCTTAGGTATTCCTGATTATTCGATAATAGTAATATTATATGATACAATGTTTTCTTTAAGCTACACTGAAATATTATCTCGAACAATATTTTCTTCGCACGTTTTTCGCTTTCGCTTGTCTCCTATTTTCGTTCGGTAACAAATTAATTATTAAGTCGCGTAACAAAGAATATATTCAAAGTTCTTAAAATCTCTTAACAAAATTACATCTGAAATGATTTATTCTGAATTATCTCCTTAAACTTTCTATTCCGTTCGAAATTACCTCGGAATATAAAATTATCTTGCATTTTAATTATTTGCATTCTAGGTTTATCAAATTTTTCTTTTTCTATTTCTGTATTGAATTCAATCTGATATTGAGTAATGATAAATTCCAAGATTAAAATAGCATAGGCATATTTAAAAAAATGTCAAATGTTATATAACTTTATTTCTATCTTTTTCTTATTTAATATAATTTAAAAAAAATGAATCTTTCTCACAACTCTTAACTTGGAATTCTTTTCTTAAGAACATATGCAATACTTTTAATATTTTTTAACAAAAAATCTTTCTTTTATATAAAATAACTTTAAATATTCAATTTTACGATAATTTGAATGACTTAAATCATATGTTTGAGGAGATAAAGTCAGATTACACAAAAATAGCAAAACGAATTCATTACATATTTACATATTTCAGACGGCATCGGAATGTTTAATCACAGGAACAGTGATAAAGGAACGCATCAAACGCATACTCAATAGTACTCTCTGTATCTCGTATTTTTTAGTTGGAATTTACACGTGCCACCTCATACAACGCAAACATCAGTTGAATCTTATCTTTAGCAATTCTGAAGCTTATCACTTCATATTTACAATTTCTTCGTTGTAAAAGAAAAGCAAGTATAAATTAAATTAATTAAAACAAGTTTATGTTTTTTTGTTAAATTTAAGTCGACCAAATCACTAAAAAAAGCTAAAAAAATGAAAACATATTTTTTTTTGCTATTGCTAAAAAATTAAAATCAATGTTCAATTGAAAATTTTAATACTTAATGAAGCGCTAAATATGAAGTAATAAGTCGGATAGCAGTGGATTCAGAGAGTTTTCATAGGAATAAGTATCGATCGATTGCGATCGGTTGTGTAACGCGAAAGGAAAAGAATATTAATTGTACCGTTTACGAATTTGTCTTCTCTCATCGTGATCCTTTTAGCCGCAAAAAGATGCATTATTCACAGCCCATGCTTTCGCTTGCGCCTAATGCTTAAGTATGCTTGTCCACATATGAACGTGAAGCTTCGCACATGTCTCACTACGTTCTATGACAAGACGTGATATGTTAGTGTATCCTAAGTCTTGACTGCGCTCGCTACCATTTCGCGTATATCCAAGTGGATTTCGATCACACGCATTCAGCAGGTATATATTCACGTTACCTCGAAATGTATAAGTATGTAATTAGAGGCTTACTTTAGGGACAAGCTGTACAAATATCAATATTACTGTTAATCGGGTTTAATTAAATAATTCATGTTTTATTAGCCAAGTGTTCAAAGTTTCTCAATTACTGTTTCAAGTTTATTCTTGTTTTAAGTGATTCTTCGTTTCTCTCCGAGTCTAATTTTTTTTTAAATTAAACGAAAATAGATAACTCATTAAACTAAAATGAAATCTTTATCTGACGTCAATTAGAAATTGCTGTATTTTTGAGATATTGCAACTAAACCTGAAGATCAATCCATATCTATTGGGAGAAAAATACGAGTCTTATTGAAGAATCGTACTTTTCTTCCATGTTGAATTTCTTATATCTTACCTTGAGGCAAACAGGCAACTCTATTTCAATATCTAAGTATACGCGAGCAAAGTGTGCGTATTCCCGCTCATCATCAAACAATTAAGTACCATTTCTTTATTTCATACAGTCGCTCGCGCTCATATTGACCGAGAAATCAATCCCTCACGAATGAAGTCAACCGATAATTTATAGTCCCGTAAAAAAATAAGCTCCAATCGCGCTTCGAGAGCTCGAGTTTAGCTTGAGAACTCGAATTAGCTTGAGAATTTAGAATGCGCTCGGATCAAGATTTAACGAGTGACATATGACCTTGACAAGTAATTTGAAACCTCTCGCGTTACTTCTTGCATGATTAGCCTACAAGAAATTTTATCCGCGACATTATCCTCCCGCTTGTATATTCTTTCATTATGCAATCTAATCCACTCTATCTTAGAATTGTACGGTAGTTCCTCGTTAGCACGGAAGAGTCAGAAGATCATTTCTGTTAACTCTCGCATTAATATTCAAAACGAATTACTGGCTGACTCATTATTATTAACAGACAATCGTACGATTTCCCAGTTCATTGTCCGGGTTACTTTTTTTGTTCGCTAACGAGACTTACTGACAATCGCCTAACGGTGGATAGGATATATAAACCGTAAAAGCGGAAGCTCTCCGAAGTTCCCTCGAGCGACGATAGTTTGCTTTGTGTATATAATATCGTGGCTTGGCTTTAAGAAGGATACTGGAGCTCCCTTATCCTGTCGGCTTCTTCCTCGTATTTTTTCTCTCTCTCTCTCTTTTTCTTTCGTACTATCTTTCGTAGCACACATACATACACACATTCTCTCCTTTGGCACGTCAGCTCGTATGCTATTCTCTACTCGTTCTCTAACCTATTGTCGCGATAAAAAAATATGAGGAATAAAAATATATCACGTAACAACATCCTCCTCCCATGGGAGAAGGGGTGAACTGAGGGCGAGGCCCTTACGCAACGGCGAGATACTCGACAACTCTCATATGAAAGCATCTTTCTCATCTTCGTAACTCTCAGCACTGACGCGTTCTAGCATTGATCTTTGCATATCTTCTACACATTAAACTTCCCGGAATTTTTAATTTTACATTTCTTCCTTAGTAATACAATATACAAATGACATTTCCTCGATTTTATTAATTTTCTCGAGTTCTTAATCAATGGAAAAGATATCAAAGCGATCAATATTCGATAAAATGGATGGCGTAGAATCAATTGAAGATTCTAAGTATAGAGGGGCCATGTGTGTGTGTGCGTGTGTGCGTGTATGTATGTGTATCTGTGTCACATGGCATCTCCCTTAATTAAAAATTACGAAATTTTACAAAACATTTTTCATTGCTCTCACCTTTTTCATTATTCATTCGAACTTTTTTACTTTCGACGAATCGTACTATGCATCAGGTGTGTTATAAACGTCTGTAGCTAGATCAATTAAGGATACAAGTAGCCGATACATTTGGAACCTCGTCTTCTCGTCAATGAATCGACATTTTCAAGAGAAGGACATCACGTTTTTCTCACAAACAAATTTCACGCGAATGAATCTCGTCCTTGATCTTATTCCATCGATGAATGGCAACTCCAGAGACATGCTCGCGAACGATTGTATTGACCTTGTTACGAGGGGTAAACTTGGCGCGTAGGAACCTTCAACCGAGCCAGGGTAGCCATCAGCTGGGCTGAGGCGGCGTCAGTCTCACTAGGAGCCACGTGTACAATTTTGGCTTCCGCTTGTCACTCAGCTCGTACTGCAGGTTGGCTAGCCCGTCAGTGGAAAATCTTTTTTTACCTGTTTTCAGGAACTCGTACCTGTCGTCAAACAATAAGTATTTACTACAATAGTATCCTAACAATAGTATTTACTACAATTATATCCTTGATAAAAGATGAGAGATTTTCTGTGACTCACCTCTTCGGATTGGCCTTCTCTTTCTTGTGCGTGAGCATCTTGTAGCGCGCGACATTCGCTGGATAGCGTGAGATATGCAGGCCATGGGCCTTGATACGATTCGCCATATCGTCGTCCTCGCCACCCCATCCCCAAAAGACGTTGCTGAAGCCGTTTACTAATTGGAAGTGTTCGCGCGACATTGCGGATACGCCGCCAAAGAGATCGGTATAAGGTAATCTGAGGAAGGAATACTTGGGAATATTAAAAACAGATCTTGAAAAAGAAAAAAATTTATCTCATGTCAAATACTGAGAATGTGTGTGTTATATCATTGATCTAAATAATATATTTAAAATTTATATATATAGTTAAATATATTTTATATCTTTATTTATATTTGAGTGATTCAGATGCTAAATGCAAATCCGAAACACGTAAGTATATATAAAAATGATTTATACAATCTGATTGATCTTGAAAATAAACGTAGTTTTCTTGAAAATAAACGAATTCAACGTAGTTTTACTGGTTGATACATTATATTGTTTGTACCTTAAATCTACTAACAATTCCGAATCGAGTTTAGGACTTGTACTTGGCATCTGAACTACTTTAACTATATAAAATTGATTTTACGAAAATGGGAGATAGAATTGTACTTTTACCTGTACTTGAATTTGTCCACCGCGACCGACATGTGCCTGGGCTGTTCGGGACAGGTATATAAATTCCTATCGTCCTCCGGAAGTAGGTCAACATCGTGAAAGATGAAACAGTCGAAAGTTCTTTCTTTCAGAGCCTCCACATAGCCGACGTTCATAAGCATGGCTCGATTAAAGGCTCCGGTACCTGAGAGCAGAACGACATGACTAAATACTATGATACAACTATAATAAAAGTGCATAGTTGTATAATATAGTTTTTTTACAAATAGATACTTAAATCTTTCAAAACAAAAGTAATAAATTATAACAATTAATTTGATATATTTCAGTTCTTTAAATGAAAAAAAAAGGAAAATAATAATCGAGATCTTCTCTTAAGAAAACTTGATTTTTTAATTCCTTTAGAAATTTCAATTATTCTAAATTATATAATTTAAAAAAAATCAATATATTTTAATTAATATATAATTAATTATTATTTATAGTTATTAATATTTACTTCATTTTTGGAAGACAGATATATAAGGAGCAATTAGCAAGCAAATTAGAAATAATTCCCTGCCGAAATATAAAACTTTTTTAATAAATCACAACTAGCCAAAATAACCTGCATTCGTGAATAAAAAAAATTACTAGCCTCTTGAAAAATATTCTATTGTTAATCAAGTTTAACCAAATATTTAACAAAATTTTTTTAATCTATTATAAATTGTCAAAATTGTCCTCGACTGCAAATAATACGCGTATTTTTGAAAAAAACTTTCTTGACAAAATCGATATAACAGACTTGTTTAAAAACCGAAGGAACTCTTTTTTTCTAAGAATAAAACGTGCGATGAAAATTGCTGTAGATTCGAGGCTACTGCTTTGCAAGGCTTGATGAAAGAGAATTGTTTGACGTAAGTCGTCTGGCTCAATTAGAAGTTTCGCATCTTCGCTCGGGTCTTATCTTTGTTCGGGTGCCACGAAGAAAACTAGGTCACATGCAGGGAACACAACTTTGGTAACTTTTTCTCATATTTCCTGCCATGCCGTTTCCATCATCCTGGACTAGGATTCATAATTAAATATTAGAATAGTCTTGAATGCGCAATTAACGGAGACGACTTTATTTTCCAAGTTAATCTACGAGATTATTTCTCTATCTCTCTCTTTCCTTTTCTCTCTCCCCCCTCTCTTTCTGTCATAATAAACTTTAATAAAAATATATCAACTACGAGTATTAATCAATGTTTTCGTTAGCATTTGTTGTCTACGGTAAATTGCACAAAGGAATCGTCAATTGCATGTAGGAAGGAGGAAACGAAAGAGCCTGACATCGTCATCGTCTACCGTTCGTTTATTTGAAAATAATTACGAGACCTGGCGCAGATTCCTTCTCAAAGAACGAAGAGGCAAAGGCTAATGCTCTCAAAGCCATTGGCTGCATCTCTCCCGTCCGTCGTCGATTATTATTGGCTGAATAGACCTCGCGCTCGATCGAATCTCTTGAACGATCGTTATAACACAGAGACACGAGAGGAGAATAAAGGGGGTGAGGAGGAGGCCAAGGACCTCGGCGGAGCATTCGCCAAACATGTGCAAGACGGGGATATAAACAGTCTTGTTTTTCCCGGTCTCGGCGAAAAGTGTCTCGGCGCAAGTTTATTCCAGGTATTTCAGACATTTCTTTATATCGCGTCGGCGACGAAATAAAAAGGGATGCGATAAAAGGAGATGGCGGGGGGAGCGTGGGATGCGGGGGCGATGGGTAGCGATAAAAGGACGCAGGTGCAGCGAACAATTTCGCAACGGGGGTGAAATGGAAATTCATCCGCGCAGGAGCGCGACAGAGACGATTTCGATCTAAAAAATGTAAATGTCGAGCGATCTAATGGTGTTTGTTACGGAGCAGTTCTCTTCCTCTATCTGCGTCGTATCACATTGTTATTCGCATCCTGAAAGAGACGTTGTACAATTATTCTTCTTGACGAAATAGAAATGCAAATGATGGAAGCGACGTGCAGTTTAGCCAAGAAAAAAGAATAGATCATTATACGTTAGCGTTTTTCGTGATAAAATTTTTAATACAGGTTTTTGTGATGCGATGCAGAGTCGCGCGAGCAAGATGAACCTTGATTTAAAAGTAAAGTGATTCGCATTCTCTTAAGCTTGTATATGTTAAAATTGATTTTGAAAAAGATTAATTATAAGCGCGTATCGCTTTAATCAACATCTTCCATCTCGGCTAATTAATTCATTTTTTATTAGATTTCACGCGACTAATTAATTCATTTCTCAGTCGGGAGTCACAATTGATCTGTAATTAAAATGTGATATTTTATTGAATCATTCGCTCATAACACAAGATACGAAACTCCATCGCATTTGTCTTTCGTTTCCGTCGATTCGTATATTTGCGTCGCATAATTATTACATCAAGAGGATGTAATTGTGGCGCAACAATGAAAGGCGACAGATCATTTATTAATGTACCTCGTTCGCAATAGGCTTTTTTCTTGCGATTCTAATAAATACTAATGAAGACCGTCTGAGTGAATACTTTGTCTCGACAGGTACCTTTTCCAACTGGCAACAAGCTCATTTCCATATCCGCTTCCGTGAAGACGTCACTTATTTATTCGTCTAAAAGAATTGTGTCTGTGATATAATATTATGCGCTGCCATGCTTTCAAAGTATGAGAGGGCGTCTGTCTGTATTTCTGACATATATTTAAATTTCTCATCGTATCCCATTTTCCTCTTGTCCAGAATATTATATATATAAATGTAAATAAATATATATATATATATATATATAAATACATACAATTCGAAAAATGAGATATAATGATCACATTATATTGAATAATTTATTATTTAAGAGTTCATTATAACAAAATAGTGAAATTAATTATTCATGAACTTATCATTTGATTGTTAGAATTTTTAGTAATGATGGTAACTTTGCAGAGTAGCAATTAAACCTTTTATATGTACATATATATATATATATATATATATATATATATATATATTATAGTATTCTATATACAATTTGTGACAAAATTCTAGATAGAAATAAATTTATAATTTTACATCGCTTATTCTAATATATATGTGTGTGTAATAAAATTTTATAATCTAACACACAGATACACATATATATTTTATTTTCTAAAATGTTCTCCTATAGAGACACGTAAAATTATAAATAGAATTCTGTCGCAAATTATAGATTATCTAAGATGAGCTTCGACGCCTGGGACTTATCGCTGTCTACTTTTCCCACCATTTCGTTCACGCAAAAAAGGGTCGATTGCATTCTTGATTATAAGTATAGAGCCTAACGAAGATTGCTTCGCGAACGACGGAGAGAGTCAGCGGATTTCCTTGATATCGGGTCCGGACGAACACGTCGTTGTTAATGATTGTATGCGATAATAAGAGTCTCGACGATAGTTACGATAATAAGAGTCCCTCTTAGATGAATGCACGTTCGATGCTTCCGACGTTTCTAGCCGAGCAATATTAATGGGCGGATTCTGTATTGCGCGAGAGAATGCCTGGAGCCACGGCAGGTGCAACTAATTACGTTTGTCCGCGAGAAATGCGTGTCTCGAGAATCTTGTCTCTTTTCCGGTAGCAGACGTTCAATCACGATCAATATCTCAGTTTTGTGAAATGGAAATGCAAGAGAAAAGGGAGAGGACGTTCACGAAGAACGTCCTCTCCCTTTTCTCTTGCATTTCCATTTCACAAAACTGAGATATTGATCGTGATATGATGAGATGATGACATAAACATGAATATTCTATTCAGATTCATAGTATTTAAATTTATTTGTTTAAATCTATTCAAAGCTAAAACATTAATCTAAATTTAATATTAATGTTTAATATTAATGTTTAATATAAATGTTTAATATAAATGTTATATTTATTCAATTTAAAAATTATAATAATAAAATAATATTAAAATATTATCTCATTATTTTAAATAACAGAGTATTAATTATCTTTGAATTATTTGCCTTTACATTATACAACAAGTATTATATTTTATTATATTATAATATAATATCCTTATATACTTTTGTTGTATCATGAAGTAAAAATTCCATCAGAGAATATGTAATAACAAAATATTGAGAAAACGCGCAAGAGATTAACACTTCCGATGGAAACTTCTCTCATTTCTGTAACATCCTCTCCGGACTCTTATCCCGTATCGAGAAATTGATTTTGTTCGGGCTAGAGGAAAGTACGTCATGAATCTAATTTCCTGATCCGTTCGTAGTCGTTCGATCGGGCTTACTGGGAACGACTGTCGCGACTTCGCCGCCGATCCTTTAGATGGTCCCCACGCGAGTCGATCCGATAAATATTCAACGCGGCACTAATTATGCAAAAGCGAAGTATTCAGTGGCTGACTCCGCTTTAATCCCGAGCCGAAGTGCAGAGGAGAGACGAACAGATAGAGAAAGAGTTCGGAATTTGAATTTCTAAATTGTGGCCGAGCGCGACCGTGTCCGACTCATTTGGAACAATTAAAGCTGCGTTAATTCATGCACGCACGCACACGTTAATATACCTTTGACTTTCGTTTGTTACAAATAAATTTTGCAGACTACGATACATTAGAAGATTCGTATACTCGTTCATGTAAACAAAAGCAATTTCGAATAATTTTATGTATTATATAATTTTAATATATTTAATATATATTATTAAAAAATTATATACAAAATTTTATCAAAACAGAGAGAGAGAGAGAGAGAAAGAGAGAGAGAGAGAGGGAGAGAGGAAGAGAGGGAGGGAGAGAGGGGGAGGGAGAGAAGAAAAAATATCTCATGAAATATTTCATATATACATAAAATCGTAATGTATATTTATTGTTTTATATTATTTTAATTTAATTTTTTATTATCTTTTATTTTGTATTATTTCTTATATGCGGTTACGTCTTTATAATTTTGTACATAAAATTTACCGTGTTCAAAATCTCGATTCATTAGTTAATCCTCTTATGCATCGATGCATCGTCTTCTTGACGAATAGTAGTTGGATTAAGCGTTGATTGTAAGCTCAACTTGACGAATGATCGTGACTTTGCACATATATGGATAGTAACGGTATTCGTGCCGCATGCGAACTGCATATGCGATAATCAAGATCCACTGTTCGATTCGTTTTCTAGTGCGATTATGCGGTTAAATTTTCAAGAGATAGCAAACTCATAGATACAGTATTAAAATAATAGTAATCATATAATAGTAATCATATAATTTGAGACATTATAATCTTATATATAAATTTACTTGTCCTAAAATTATATTGGTAAAATTAAATTCGCGTTTGTCATTATATTAAAATGATTCGAAATTCAATCAATAAATTAAATAAATTAAGAGACATAATCTTATGTTCTCGCATGATGTAGATATTTCTATTTTAAGGAAGATAAATAATAACAATATTATTTACAATGTTTTATTGCAATGCTACTTTTGCATTAAATATGAGAGCAACTTTTTCATTACTGACAAATCTGGTTGCCTCTTTATTGGGCAATTTTTCTCTTGTATTCTTCACAATAAGCTTTCTAATTAATATTTAACTTTTTTTTCAAATTCTTAAAATATGAATTGCAGCACTCTTGCACTGAAATCTTGAATTAATTAAATTGATAAAAATATCGCCTAATATACTTTATTATGATAAAGCCTAATATACTTTTTAGATTAAGATTCAAAAATTCATAAATATTATAACTTTGAATTTTCTTGCATATGAATACACTTGTGAGTCGATTGTCTCCTCGATATTACTGCATTGCGGGAAACGCGGGAAAACGACAGTTGGTCTCTCAAATTCCAGGATTAGATAGCACTTAAGCCTGACTTACGTGAGGTCTTCGGGCAAAGCAGCTTGACAGTGAATAACAGTTCGGCGCATTTTCCCAAGCTCGCGCGCAGCAACGGCGAGAATAAATTGTTGCTGTTTCGCCATAATTAATCGTACCGGTGCAGTGAAATATCGTCTTCGTTAAATTATCGAGAATTCATTGCCTGGCGATCTGTCGTAAATTAACGCCATTACAATATAATAGCGATCCGATGGAAATAACTCCACGAAGAATTGAATGAGAGAACTCGGCGAAAAATTTTCCATTCGCATTACAAGGATTACAAGTACAGAGAAGTAACAAAATATAGTACAATTTTTATCAAATTATCATACAGATAATATGGTAGGTTTAACTAAAACTAATGTGTAATGTGTCTGTGGGCTAAGACCATTGTTTTAAGAATCTCAATTTTGTTTTAATCAAACATATTTAATACGTAAAACAAAAATAATTTAAAAAAAAAATAATAGACATATAAAAAAGAATATTAATTAAACGCAAATTTGCCGAACATTATTTTTTACGAATATCAATACAATTATACATTTTTATTCGATGCTTTCTGCCGCGGAGGTTTAATTACGCTAAAAAATAGCGAAACAGTCGTCTCTTCTTTATCCATATCTGTTTGCACACCGAGCAGAGAAATGTGAATAAAATCGGATTTAGGATTTCATCAGGAATTCCGCACTGGAACTTTACAACAGAAATCATATTAAATTGCACCTACATTTTCGAGAAAACGTTTCGAATATACGGCGAAATAGATGTCGGAGGGAATATTGGTTCTGTTAAAATAATTGGAGATCGCTATAAAGTGGCAAACAACGATATTAAATCGATGTAAAAGTTAATTGCAACACGCGACATTAAATGTAAGTAACAATTTAAGATATTTCCTAGGTTTCTTTAAGTAAATTATTGATTAATTATTACAACGTATATTAATTATGTTTTTATTAATATTAATTATTACAATTTTTCGAGAAAAAAATTGTCCAATTTTTAATTATTTTTGCTGAAAAGTGTTTTAAATGTGTGAAAGATATGCCGGTATATTAGAATTAACTTTAATAACGAATTAAACATTAATTAATAACATGTAATAACAATTTTGTAAATTTTAACAATTAATAAAAATTTGTTCATAGTTATAAAACTTTCTCTTTACATGTATATAAATTGAGCATCATATGTACATCAAAGATATGCAGAAGTGTTGCATGAAATAACAAGAAAATTAATCATAGTCATATTTTGACATCTCGCATACGCAGTAAGTAAACAAATTTAGTCAAGCGTTTCGCAATTTTAATGAAGATAAATTGCAAGCCTGCTCTTCTCTTCTCTTCTATTTCACAGCCCTCCAATATCTAAGATAGATAGCATTTTCTAGGGTGACTGAATGGAGAATGATAGATTCTGCATCTTAACCAAAGATATTATTTTCTGGTAATAATCTTCTTAAATTTCTCGAAAATAAGTATTTAATAAATCATTTCAAGATAACAAAAAATAGAACAAATTAGATCAAACTTATATTTGTTACATTCTCAAAATTATAAGAGTATAGTTATAATTTATTAATTGTATAAAAATTTTTTCCATTAATCATTAATAATTTAATAAATAAAATATTTTTGATATTAATTATATATATTCTTAAATTTATTAATTGCAAATATCATTTATATATGTAAATTACAAATATATTATTATTATTATGTATAATTATATATAAAAAATGCGAGAAGAGTTTTAAAATATTCTGTAAGTGTAAAGATTTTCTGTTCACATTTTAGATCAAAATGATTATGATCTTATTATGTCGTAACATTTATCATTCTCGCATTCTTCATTTCTCTCTTTCAAATTACTGCAATCCTGCTGTATAATCATCAGTTTTGAAAGCACGTCATAAAACGCGCGTCGTAAAACAGCTCATAACAGACTTTATAATTAAAATTTTAGGAATGTAATTATGTATACGATACAAGGCCAATGTCAGAGGCAGATGCTTTCGCGGGAACATATCTTCGTCGTTAAGCAAACTAACAGAAATAACTACATCCGCGCGAGATGAATTCAGAGAAATACCCTTAAAAATTTCATTAAAAAATAATCGGCGGAATTACTTCGCGTCGTTTTATTCAAGAGCGCTCACGTTGCCTCGGTCGATCGATTATTCGAGCTGAAGAAAAATGTCAGAGAGAGAAAAAGAGAGGAAAAAAAAGAAAAAGGACCTTTATACAAATTTAATTAAAACTTAAGTCGAGAAGCTTAGAGAGACTCTACGACGGGAACTTTGAAGCAACCTCTTGTGCCCTGTGACTCTTGCACCGCCGACATTCTCCATCCTGTAGTAGGAGGGTCTCCGTTTCGAGAGACAAGCAGGAAAATACGCGGGCAAGAGGAACGTCCGCTAGACGGCAATAAATCGTAGCAAAGCATCGGCTTACACGCACCAACGGTGCTGGCGAAGAGAAGCTCGGGAAAATCGTACGTTTATATTCGCTCCGCGGAAACAAACCGTGTGCTCTGGAAGCTACTATAGGAATAGAACGGAATGCGCACGTCCGTTGTGTCAGCTCGCGAATAAGAATTCACCGTTTCGTCGATACGCTGAAATATCGTCCAAGTAGCAATTTGATTCTTCTTAAATAAAAATTATATCTACGGGGAGATTTATAACTCCACTCTGTAAATTCCAATTTAAATTCTAATTTAAATTTTATTAATTTTTTATAAATTTTCTTTTAAATTTTCTTTTATTTTTCTTTTAATTTAAATTATAAAATAATATTAAAATCGTGCAAAAATTTATAAAATTAATAATATAATATATTTATAATATGCGTGTAAGAATAATTATCGATTTGGCTTTGAAAAATGATGCGGATATGCAAAGGATATGAAAGTATTTCCGATGAATACGAGAAACCGCGGTTTTTCGTATACGAGAAATGCATTTGCGGTAGACAAAAAAATGAGCAATGGTCACGAGTCGACTTACCTTCCTGCTCGATCACGAAGATCTGATACTCAATCTGCTGGCGCAGTAGGATCGGATGCAGATTGTAGAGAAGGGTCTGCAGATGCTGCGGTCGGTCGCGGAATGGAATGATTATGGCTACGCGGTGCCTGGCGACGCAATCCGCGGGTCGACCCCTGCCGCCCGCATTCACCTCCACGAATGACCTCTCCATCTCGGACAACGGTGGCGGTGATTTACTGACGACCATGGGTCCAACTAGAACAAGGAGACAAAGATGAAATGAAATGGAATTTTCAAAAATGTAAAATTTTATTTGTATAGTATATAGAATTGTAAATCCATTTTGTGGCATCGCATTTATAACATTTGTCGTTTGTAACGGAAGTAGTTGTCGTTATTATAATTTTTAACATGAAATAATTATTAATGAATTTTTAGTAAATTTCTATCTGTAATATTTTCAATATCCTTGTTCAATATATCTTTTGACAAATTGCCAAATTTTTATATTTAAAGTTATTACATTAATTAAATTAAAAACTTCCCCATTAGTTTTTTGAACTACTGGATGGAGGGCGAGGAGGGCATTGAATCATTAACTACATGAAAAATCGATTATTAATAAATACTAGAAACATTATGCAGTCCTGAAAGGAGATAACCTGTCAATCGAAACGAATGCGAAATGCATTCCGAGAGATTTCCAATGGAATTCTCTGTAAAGCAGATGTATGCATAATTCAAGCATACAAGGTTCATGTAACCGTATTCGATATTACTTTTTAATTCACCTAAAATACTATTTTCCACTTTCTCTGACATATTAAAAATTTTCAAATACAAATCATCATTTTAATGAGAGAAATATCAACCGCATATCAAATCGCAATTCTATATCATTTTCTCAAACTTACCCAAATTCGGTGGGATGAGAGGACATCGTGGCATGGTCGTGTTATTAGTCGCGTTTGCCACTGGAAGTTCTCGTGCGGTTCCACCGCCGACCAGATTTCTAGTCGGCATAGGTTCGAATCTAGATGAGTTCGACAGGCCCTTGGCCAGTATCGAGAGTATCGTTGTCGAGGACACATTGCCACCCCCGATTAAATTCGGCACCGCAGTTGCTGGGCCGTATATGATCAGGCCGCGCGGATGAGTCCTGTACGAGCGATCCGCGTATCTGTGACAAGTAGAAAAAAGGAACATAAAATACATTAATACGCAAAAGCCTGGAAAATTAAATCTAAAAAAACTACAAACAAATTATGCAACAGATGTCATGTTGTCATTCGCGCGAAAATAGCTATTTATTGTGGTATAATTTTCGTAAACGTGTTAATAAGATTTGCATGATTATCACTCAACTTATTGAAGAATATTTCAATCTTTTTTTTTCGCACATCGGTGTCGTATAATTTGATCTTAAATATTAATGCTAATAGCATTAGAGATTCCAGAATTAATGTTCGCGACAGGGCCAGATTTAAAGGTGTGAAAGCCTTAAGGCAACGAAGAGGTGGAGACCCCTAACCATTTTTAAACTAAAATCAAATAGAAATTTTTACGTTGTTTAAATAATTTATTGTGAAATAATAAGGTCAAGCAATATACATAGACCTTGTAAGTGTTGTATATCATTCGATAGGAAATTTTATCCAAAAATTTGTGTTGTGGAGGCTCCCCTCTTGTGGAGACTCCTGGGTTTCAGCCCCTGTTGCCACTTCTAAATCTGGCTCTGGTCAAATATAAATCATTCGTGACTCTTTATCTATTTTTCGATTATTAAAATGTAATTCAGAGTGTAATTGAGATCGTGCAGTAAAACGATCGAATCGTAAATATAAATATATATTTAACATAATGTGAAGTGATCCTTCAATACATAATCATATAATTAATCTATATCATTTAAAATCTAAATTTCTATACTTTAAAATATTTCACGTATATATTTGTCAAAATACGTAAAATATTTCGAACAGACAATAACACAGTGTTTAGCCTTGACGGCGTATACAATAGCGCGCTAATGTTTACATTCCGCGGTCTTAGTATCATTCACACGGCGACACTCGAGCAAGATAGTGATGCGAAACGATACTCTTCGTATATTATCGAATTTATTATTAATTGGACGATTATCATGATTTTCAATTAGATTAATCTTTCGATTTTATAATTCGTGTTAATATAATATTCATAAAACGGAGCATTTGTAATGAGTAGTGCATGAATTTGAAACTTTATATAAATATCGAACGAAAATAGTACTTCTCTCGTATCTTCTGTTTCTTACGATATGCTAAAAAGTGCGTTTCTCATGTAATTATTCCGTGATCGGGAGTGTCGTGCAAAGTGTCTCGCGATCGTTCCATATATAATTAATTATTATTATTTGTATTTTCGGAAGTGAATGTGAGTGCTACGAAGAAATACTAAAGGACGAAAAAGAGAGAAAAGTGAGAAAAGCATCGAACAACACATACGGAGCAAAGAAATATAAAATGTAAGTCATTTATAAATTAGTTATCATTCATGTTACTTTTAGACATATTGCCTATTCCTTTTTCACCTTTTCGAATTTATTTTTAGATACTTAATTTCATTAGAAAATAGATTTATAAAAATATTAAAATTGAATGTATTTGCATTTAATTTTTATTATATAATTTTCTCATTGTTATTTATTATTTTAACATCTCTGTGAATTAGATTCCAATTTTCCTTTATTAAAGAAAATGGTCGTGTACCTAATCTTTTATTCAATAATATTTATATAAGTAGACATTACAATGAGAAAAAAAATTTTTATTTCAACTAAATGCTTAACATACTTATTTGATACATGACGTAAAAATCGGAAACGCTATAATAATTACATTATTGAATGATATAATCAATCCCACACACAAATTATATAAAATTATATATAATATAAATTTCTCTTTCTCTTTCATATATATAAATTATATTATATTATAAATTTATATAATGCAACCCCCCACGGGTACACCTTGACGCGGTGGGGTGGCTCAGTACTTGGATGGTGCCTTGAGGTTTATTTTAAATTTTTTTATTTAGGATAAATCTCAAGGAGCCTGAAGGGGAAGCTAAGTACCCAGCATATCATTGCCACGAGTCACACAATGGCTCATATGTGGCACGCGCATTTCATGCATTGGACGCATTGCGTCGTCGACTTTCCGTCGTCGGTGCTGTCAACGTGTCGCGGACGGCGGTGTCTCGTTACCGCGTTTAGCTTTCTCGCGTTATCGCGTTTTCGCGCTTCCACGTTGGACTTTTCGTATAAAAATCCCAATTTCATTATTGTCATGAGTCTCTACTTCCGATGTCAATTAACTAGGATTTCGAGTTTGCATACGTTGCGCTATGCAACGTACACTCGTACTTCGTGCTCCGTCAAGTGATTCGATCCGAATTGATTAGAACTCGATCGATTATTCGGAATGGTCATCAATAGGTTCCTTCTCTTTGCTCGTCTATAGCCACACGCATTGCGTGTGTTAACCTGTCGAGAAGTCGAGTGGATTCCCCTAGGTACGATTTTCGCTCGGTAAAAGAGGTTGCCTCCTCATTTTCTAAATTGCTGATTGCTAGCATTTAAAAAATGTGGGTATCCTCTTCTTTTGCCGTCCACTAGCCTGGTGTAGCATATAGTAACCGCGGGAGGCATAATATGTCCGGAGCACCTGAAATCGTGCTTAGCGGATCCAGGTTCGATACGAGATAGGATAATTATGCGCGAAACAAAGTTGGTGAACTTCATTTTCCTCTACTTCCGTCAATCGTTTCGTCTTCTTTCCGATTTGGACTTAATCTTTGCTTGTTGTATCGTTGCATTTCTGATCTGTTGACTCGAAGCTGATTCTCATAAATGAAATGGGACTTTCGTTCGTATCGAAACCGGGAGTGTCGTTCAAAGTATGTACATATTAAGTATATACATCGCGCGACTAAATAGAAAATTTTTTATCATACCGAAATAGTGCGGGAAGCACTTAGTATCGCGCGTAAAAGTGCGAAAATAGCGATAAAAATATCGCTCGTGAGTGCGGGAGTGTCGTAAAGTATCGCGCGTCCAAGACTGAGAGGAGGAGGAGGCCTAGGAGAGGCATCGGGCTCCGGCAGAGCAACCTTTTCGTAAGTAATTTATTTATTTGTAATTGTATATTAAATATTAAATATATTTATTATAATTTAAATTAAACAATTAATCGCGTAATTTGATTTTTTATTTATATAATTTAAATAAGAGAGAATTTTGAAGAAAAATATTTTTATATAAAATCTATAATTTTATAAAATTAGCTATATATAAGCTTTTATAAAGTATTAGAGAATTATTAGTAATGTTTTTTTCTAAAATTTGTAGAATTATTTTATTAATATGCTATTATTATATGTATTGAATGTAAGATTCAATACATGTAATAACTTTTGAAATATTAATTATTTGAATGTTATTACAATTTAAATCTTCTATTTGTTATAGATCAACCTAACAATCCTGATGATCTGAGAGGAGGCGCAGGCCTAGGAAAGGCATCCTGCATCGACGGAACAACCTGATGGTGAGTACTATTTATATTATTTATTTATATTAATTATTATATCGCGTACATGTACTAATTTGAGTCATTTATTTGAATGATGAAACAAGAAAGATTCAAAGAAAAAAGGTTGTATGTAAATAATCCTATAAAACTTTCTATTTAAAAAAATAGGTTTTCAGAATTTAAAAAATTATTTCATATTTATTTATTTGTTTATTATTGCACATATCGGATATAAAATTCGGTGCGTACAATAATAATTAAATATAATAAAAGATTAATTATTTTAAGAGCTGCTAATTATATGAATTATATATTTGTATGTTACAGACAACGTAGCTTCAATATTGACAACTCCGTTGTTGCGCATCAGTGTCGGTGAGTGAAAAACTTTTATTTAATTTTAAGGTAACGGATTTGTGTAGAGCTTGTAGATGTAGACTGTAGATTGTAGATTGTAGGTCCGTTACCTTAAAATGGATGGGCTATAGAACAAATTAAATATAATTTTTTGAAGTTTTTTTTCAATATACATTAAAGCTTATTAAAAATGCAAAATTGAAATATTAATTACAGGAAAATTTCATTTTTTTTATTAATTTTACATTATAATCAATTATTTATTTTATTTAAAATAAATAATATACATAAATGCAAAACATAAAGAACATACTAGTAATTTTATTTTTTAATACTATATAATAATTTACTTTTATAATGCATACTGATATTATTTTAATTTTTTATAGTCCATCATTTTTATGTAGTGTAACATATTAAGAAACTTTGCTTTAATTGATATAAATCTAAGTAAGTTATCAATCTATTGAATCATATATAATGTTTAGAAAGATCAATGAATGATACTATAGAGTGAAAATATAGTAGAAAATGTATAAATAATGTGGAATTAATTTATTTTATCGTAAATCTTTATTATAAATTTTTTGTTATAAATAATATTATATATTGTAAAAATTGCAATCATTTAATTTTGATTAACTTAACACTATATAGCATTATATTAATTAAAGCAAAGTTATATTAAAACGATAACAAACGGTCATAATATTATAACTGTAAATAAGCGTAAAATTATTCTCATGTATCGGTGAAAATAAGTAGCCGGCAACGGAAGAAGTTTTTCTCCTTCATTGACCTATGATATAGGTCAAAGCTATACTTTATCCTTGGCTAAAAATAGCCAAATGCTTGGATATTCGAAAAGTAAGTTAATCTAAAAACGTGTAATGGCACATAATAAACGCGTAAATTAAACGGATAAAATAAACGGGTACGCATAAAATAAATAATAACATATAAAAATAAACTCAGAAACTCGCGAAAAAAGAAACACTGCGTTCATGTAATAAAATCCTAATTTCTATTTTCCAAATCTCAAAAAATCGCATATTTCCGCTGGTTTAATTTGCAGAGCAATTAGGGCTGTTAGGATCATTGAAATTATTAGGATCGTTGTTAGGATCCCTTAGTAGGATTGTTAAGGTTGTAAGGCCGGTATTCATACAATCTGTTCTTATATTTAATAATCTTAAATATGATCTTCGATAGTCTTAAGATTTTGTTTAGCTAATGAAAAAAATAT